ACATTAAATAATAAACATTTTCACTGAATTATAGGTTCTCAGTCTCAATAGGATCAGAATAACATTCACTTTGACTCTGAAAATTTAACTCCCAATGAAGATGGTAGGAATTTATCCCTTTATCAGGGAGTGTAGTGATAGGACAAGAGGTAATGGTTTTAAACTGAAAGAGGGTAGATTTAGATTAGATATTAGGAAGAAATTCTTTACTGTGAGGGTGGTGAGGCACTGGAACAGGTTGCCCAGAGAAGCTGTGGATGCCCCATCCCTTGAAGGCCAGGTTGGATGGGGCTTTGAGCAACCTGGTCTAGTGGGAGGTGTCCCTGCCCATGGCAGGGGGGTTGCAACTAGATGATCTTCAAAGTCCCTTACAACTCTAACCATTCTATGATAAGAAGATTCTATGAAATTCCTGACCAAGCAAAGCATTCAGATACATGTTTTGTGCAGCTAAAATGCCACAAGTCAATATGTGCTATTCTTATTTTGAAATCCTTGCCTCTGCTAGTCTGAACAAGAAATAAAGCTCAATCAATCCAGCTCTTCTACCCAGCACTGTAGATGGTTACTGAGGGCCTAAGAAGTTGGCTTCTTCAAACCCTTTAAAAATCTTTTTAGGGTGATTTCTAATTTTGCATGTTGGTTTTCTTGAAAATAATTTTTGAGTTTTTAAAAATGTTAATTTTAACATCCACTACACAATGTTGTGTGCCTGCACACAATAGTAATCAGAGTTGGCTCACTGGTAGGAGAGAGATGGAAAATGTAATTTGAAGCTAGTTTTTGTTCCAAGTTCTCTTTGCAGTTTTGTCCACCAGGGAAATAATATAACACACTTTTTCCTTTCATATTTTTGCCTTATTGATTGTGTTAGTGCCTGAAAAAACATGACTTAATTTCATGTAACTTAATTTTTGTTAAAATCTCAAGATAAAACTGGAAGATTTTTAGAGGATAACTACTTCACTAGTTTACACTTATTTATTTAAGAAATATTATTTTCATTAGCTTTACAGTTTTTATGCCTTCAAATTCTCCTGGTAGAAGTTTTTGTACCTGTTGAACTTGACACCTTTGCTTGTGTCCATTTGATATACAAATAATGAGACTACTTATTAAGAAAATGTCAGATCTAATGCAGTAAGGAGGGCTGGGGGAAGCAGGACAGCTGCCATCTCCACCACTGCACCCAAGGAAGTCAGTCAGGGCCCCTGCTCAACTTTGTCCCTCATGC